AGCCGGAGTTAAACCACGACACCCGCACATAGGTCTTTTTTGGAACTTGGCTTTTGCTGGCCTGTTTGCCTCTCCCCTGTGTTTTAAAGTCATCCAACAAACTGTACTGGCCTTTCTCTTTCCCACCTCCCCAGCTGGAATTAAGTGCTGTTCACTATTTAGGGTGTATTTTCTGCTGTCTTCCCCAAAGCAGAGTCCCAGTGATTTAGGAGTCCTGAAAGTTACCAGGACTGAGGTTCTCTACATGCTCAGGTCACTGTGAATGCTCAGCCAGGAAAAGTTCAGCTCTGCAGATCTATGCTTAAAACCCTTCAATAAATCTTGCTTTTCAGAGCTTTTCACATTTTTCCTCTGTGTGGCTTTCTCATTGCAAATCAGGACAATATTAACACTAAGGGATCAGGCTGTGAGTCGGTTGATCCCATCACTTAAACCCACCACCAAGTCCCAACATCTCTGCACAGAGGCCTCGCACATTCCTGGCACTGGGGCTTGGCTGCCCTCGGCTCCTCCTTGCATGGGACCACATCTCTCCCTGATCGCCAGGAAGCAACTGCATGTGACAGATGCTTAGGCTGGGATTCAGCAAATCTGTATTGTACCAAGTCTCCATGTCTAGATGGAGATTAAACCCCTGGCACTTGGAGGGAGTCTAGGCATGGGAATTCAGAGCCTGGGAGAAGATCCAGTTGCCCAGGGACAGCGCGGCTGATCTCCAGGATGCCATACCTCTCGGAAAAGTGCCCCGTAAAAGGTGACAGTGAAGGGGCAGTCTACCGTCCTCATGGAGATATCCAGATCCATCAATAACCTCTTCTGCTCCTGACTGTTCACTGTGGCTCGGATCCGCTGGAAGACAAAGCAGTTTAGCATCAGCTGTCAGCACCTCTGTACCATGCTGCTGCTGCTGCAGAGGACTTGCCATAGCCATACCCGTGCTGGCCACAGTCCCTCGACATCACGTCTTTCCCCTTTTGTGTTACCCTTTCATCATATCTCTGTCATAAGCACATCACAAGCACAGCACCCATGGTAGGAGCACCCCGGGGAACAGAGGGCAGTGGGCAACAGAGGGCAGCCAGAGAAGGGGTCTTCTCAGCCCAAACTGCAGGTCATTTTACCTTCCCTCCAAACGACCCTCCAACAGCCAAAAGTCACTGTGGCTTGGGAGAGGAGAAAGAACAAGAAATCAAATTCTAGGCTGCTGGAAACTCATGAATTTTGGAGCTGTAGTGGGTATCTATTTACATCAGCAGACCATGGTCACAAGAGAGACCTCCAAACCTGCAGCCAGAGCCCACATGCTGCTCAGGGCTTTGGAAAACAGACTGTTCCAGGGAAAGATGTCTTTTATGTGCAATACCTGGAGACACGCAGCTTGGGAGCACCACAAGGGGGCATGGCATGGCCCAGCCTGTCAAAGCGTCACACACGGCTCCTTAGCCAAAGCCACCCCAGGTCAGTAATGTGATAGAAATAAACTTGCAGATGCTAGTAATAGCCTGAATGTTCCTGCCATTCCCTCTTCAGATCTTCCATCATACTCAGAGAGGTCTTTTCCAGTTTGGTGGACACCAAAGCAAACAAGAAGACCAAATGCAGAGCACAGAGGCCCTGAGACACACCCCAGCATCCACAGTAAAGTCTATCCACAATGGAGGAGGTAAAAATTCTCCTTCAGTTTGCTCACAGCTTCCAGCTCTGCATCTTTTATTTTTTCTTTTTTCTTATTCTGAAAGGAAACTTGAGCTAAAATTCAGCCAAGCAAAAACTGGTCCTTCCCAAAATACAAATTTTCCCATGGCTACTTACTTCCCTAAACTGTAAGCTTATGAGTCTAACCTGTTGTTAAGAACATCTTTCATAATAGTACCTACAAGCCTGTCATGAATTGAGATCCCACTGCAGCAGACAAAATGTGAAAATCCCAACAAAAATTAACTCCCAGTTAAAGAAAATTATCTTATGCTATTAAATCTACAGCACACTTTTCTTTAACAGTTAATGTGCAGAGCCCCAAATCTTAGAGTATACCCACATCAGAAAAAATATACATATTTTAAAAGTGATGGCAAATAGGTTGTAAAATCCTAGTAAAACCATGAAATTGCAGCATGAACAAACAGTATGTTTCTGTGCACAATGCTGGAAACATGCTGAGCATCGTACTTTTAGAACACACCCCTTTTCTTGGTTAAACACCCCAAATCCACCTTGGCCCTCTTTGGCCCTGTCTAGAAAGAGGATTCCATAGGGAAGATCCTAGTAAAGGCGTTCATTAGAACAGGCGAAGTTAGAAGCGTGCACGCACGAGAGCGCAGAGGGTGTCCACACACAACGACACAGACAGAAAGCACCTCGGGAGGCTCACTCTTACCTTCACTGCCATGATCTGCCCGCTCGGCATGTGCCGCATCTTCTCCACCACCCCGTATGCCCCTCGTCCCAGCTCGGAGATGGGCTCTAGGTCATCGGCTTTCACCTCAAAGTTCTGAGGGGCAAAAAGCCATCAGCGTGAAGGTGGTGAGGAGCAAAATGCCTCTAAAATCTAGCCCTGGCTTGGCAAATAAATTCACCTCTGTGCATCCCCCTCCCCATCTGTGTTCACGAGGCTACAAACAAAATCATGGTCCTCGGGCTGTCAGGAGGACTAACTAATGCACAGTAATTAGCCAAGATCTGAAGAGGACCAGCCTTGTAACATCAAGAGCCTGTGTCACCGAGCAGGACTGTTCCTTCAGTGGGATGCTCTGCCCCTTGGCCACCTGCACCCCACTGTCCCTCCTAGCCACTTTTAGCTGCCAGCACTTTCAGCTTCTCCATCCTCTAAGGGCTGGGATGGAGAACTCCACGGCAGCTTCTCCTCTAGGAATCACCTTCAGACTTCTTATTTTCCTTTTTTGTTTCATTCTCCTCCTCCCACAAACAATCATGGAAAGGTCTCCAAGGTTTTTTAAGGCGTATAAAAGCTTAGTTCTCCATCTGTAGATGGGCCAAATACCAGCTGTGTGCGCCCCATTTTTAAACTATGGAGGATTTATTTTTTCTAGCGTTCAAGATCCCTTTCTCCTGCCCTTACACAAAGGATAACTTTGTTTGGAGCCCTGCATTCTAACCTGCCCTTGTCCTTTCTGCCGCGATATTGTGCAGCAGCTCTATTTTTTGCTCATTATTATTTTTGGATGTTTAAAATATGCTTTTGCTACTAAAACCAGCCATTCTGTTTGCTGAACGCACAACCACATCAGTCAATCATCCCACAGAAAGAAGCGGGTTATAATGAACTGATTCACAGTGCATAATCCCACACCGCTTTTTGCCGGCACAGCAGAAAAAAAACCTGCAGCCTGAAATGTGCTGGCTAGGGATGCCACAGCGTGCAGGGCCCGTACACTGTGTTACTGTGTGCTCGGGCTCCCCATCATTCACTCCCAGCTACATCGCCTGCAAAAGGAGCCTTGACTAACATTTTTGTCTAAGGGCAGAAGATTTAAGCATCTCTGACTGCCTGACACTGCTCCTACTGTTCAACAGGACCCTCTCCAAAAAAGCACTTTGACTCTCTCCAGGCCACTCTTAAATTTAGCATCAGAGTTGAAAGGGAGAGGGGGGAAGTGGCTTTCCCTAGGGATCAGGGGTGAGTGTAGGCAGGCTGGTGGAACAGAGAGCACATCCTAAAGGAACTTGGCTGGACAAACCCACAGCCTGTCAGTCCCTCCAAGATAGCCACATATCTGCATCTCTAAAAAAGACCGAGCCCTGGGTTTTACAAGTGTGTTTCTCATTGCACCATCCAACATGGGCTCTCTGCCTCGGTGCATGGAGCCTTTTTGGAGTGCTTGAGCTTTTCCTCATCCCTGGGACTGCAGGGGAGAAATTACTTTCTTGGAGCGGGCGCCTGCTCTAGCAGCAGGCATTTTCTCTGCTGCACATTTTGCTCCAGAGGCACCTCACACTATTTTCACCTTCCAGCCCTTGCTCGATGCCAGTGAAAATACAAAATCCAAAATGAAAGAAAAGATAGACATTATAAAACACAACTGGATTAGCATTCCACTTCATAAATTAACTCGCTGACACCAAGGCCTATCTTTTGCACCTAATATATTTATTGTCCAGCTTTAAAGTGCTTTTATGAATGCTGCTGTGCCGTTTTCTCCTATCAAAATCCTGTTCTCGGTTTCAGTTTTTCCCTGCTATGTTTTTTGAACATCAGGTGGACTGGTTTCCATGCTGTCAGAAGGATTTGCTTCCAGGACAGGAAGATCTACCCTGAGTTAGACTCCTGATGAGATGGCCTTCAATATTAGCAAAGGGAAATACTTCGGATGAAGGCTTTAAATCAGCAAAGGAACTGCAAAGGAGAGCAAAATCTGCTGTTAGCAATCCCCTTGTTTTATAATCATTATTTCCAGGGGATTAACTGCACCTTCCTGAAGTAAGGAAGGAATTTCCAAGGCGAAAAACATGAAGGGGACCCAGGTGTCATGGAATGCAAAGGGTGAGCATTTGAGGGCACGTTCATCAGACCACTGACAACCAGTAGGTCACACTGCAGCTGGCCATGGGGCCATTAGTCCCATGCAGACAGCCCTTGTTGGAGAAGCACCAACACCACGTGTTGGCCCACTCTCTGTGGCTGGAGGAGGCTCTCAGGGCTCACACACGCTCCCAGGCTGGCTCTTCTTAGCTTTTATTCATCCAGCAACTGCCCTCTATCTCAAGCAAAACAGCTACTTTTTTTTTTTAATAGCTGGTGTTTATTAATCTGTCCTTTTTTGGCAGGGCTGAAGTTAAGCAATCCCACAAGCAGCCTGCCTGGACAAGCAGCCAGCACCACAGCAGCCAGCCCTGTCCCCAGAGATCGTCTTCTCACCGTAACTCCCAGGCTTACCTCCTCGCCAATGGAGATGCAGGCTTTGGAGTCTAGATCTCTGGGTGGCCTGCAGGAGAGAAAAGGGAAAAGATGTGGAATGTTCCTTACAAAGCTCTGTTTTCCCTCAACGAGTAAATACAACCACTACGGTCCTGCAGGCCATCCCCTCACACCTCCAGGCCAGCAGCCCTCGCAGCCCTGAGCAACCTAACCAGTCTCCCAGCTTTGCAGGATCAACAGATACAACAAGAGAGATCCACACAGTCACCCAAAAAGGGGTCAGGAAGGAAGCTGCTGGGGTTGGCATTTCTCACATCCAACTTCCCCGTGCAGGAACCCAGAACGATTCATTGCAAGAGGCCAGCCAGGTGGCAAGCACCAAATCTCTGCCAGCCTGTATGAAAAAGGGATTAAACGGGCATAAAGGTCTAAAAGGACTGTAAATGATTGCCTAGGTCATACAGCATGAGTTAGCACGCTAATAAAAGTCGCTCCTCGAGGAAGCACAGAAAGCCAAGCAGGCTGGAGTTGCACAAATTGCCTTAAAAACACAGGGTTTTCTTTTGCAAGGTTGTGTGTGTAGACAAGGGGAAGCATTTTTATGCCTTGACCAAATGCACATTACTCAAACTGGGTGATTAAAATCAGGTGCCCATTCTGGTTTTTCCTTTTCCTAGGCACACCATTAAGCAGCATGAGACATGTACCACGGGCAGTGATGGGCTGAGAACCCCTGGTTGTACCTGGGGCTACAAGAGAAATCTAAAGGCTAATTTTACCCTCCCTAATAGTGCCAAAATTAACCTAGGCGTTTTGCCCCTGTTCGTCACGAAGGATCCCCGTTAGCCCAGACCTGCAAGCACAAGCCCCAGGTGCTGGCCGGCACTGGCCGCCGGCCCCCGGCCGTGGCCGTGGCAGCGCAGGCACTAGCAAAGGCTGGAAGGCAGCTGGAGTTCGTGGTTTTCTTTTTATTCTCCCTTAGTGTTTGCAGACTTACGTGGAGCTTGTCTGTGGTTGCTCAAATGCTTCTTTAGGAATTTTCAGCCCAGGGTTTCTCTTCTTGCCTGTGAAACAAGAAAGAGGCAGAATTAAAGAAAGGCACTTTTTTTGTTGTTGTTTTGTTTTCATTTGCAAAACACAGCTTGTCTATATTTGTTGACCTTATTTAACATAAATGCCCAGCCAGGCTGGTGGTGTAGACTCGGGGCACAGAGTTCAAAACATAAAGTGCCTTTGTTTGGTAACGCTTCATTTAGACCTGCAAGGTCTGGCTGCCAACTTGGTACAGAAAACAGGCAAGATCTCTGGCAAAGGCAGGCCATGTGAAAATGCAAAGTGAAAGGTATTTCTCCTTCGTCAGCCCTACCCACGTAGGATCCCTTAAAATGTTTCTTGGATTCTAAACCATTCCAGATACACAACTGTAAACCCTGACAGGATTCAAAATCTTAAAATTGAACCTGAAAGTCCAGCACCAGATTCTGATTCTGTTTAAATAGATGTTTCAACTCTTGGTCATTAAAGTTGTGCAAACCCAGCAAAAATAAAGCAGAATTAAGTTTGCAGGCTTCAAAGCCATTTGTTTTCTGTTCACACTGACCAGCCAAGCTTTTCTGAGCTGGATGAAGCTCAAGCTCTGAAGTCGTTCAAATGCAGGCTCTCCTGTAAAGGGGGTCCAAGCCGGCAGACACAAGAGCCAGGCAGACTAGAGAAACACAAGAACCTTTTTATGACTAAACATATACAGCCACAGTTCAGCACGGGGTTTTGAATTCATGGATAAAATAACCTGAAAACATAAGTCATGTCACCAAAACCCCAAGGTAAACATCTGGCTGTTTGGCTGCGTAATAAAATCCCTAGTCCCCAAAAACGGCACAAGCATTTAATTTAGGTGTTAAACATTTTTAACCTAACAATTTATATCAATTAATGTTTTTCTTTTAAACATGGGGTTTACTTTTTATTGCCAACACTCTCTTTCAAACTTTACCTATACATCTTTGAGTTTGTTTTTCCTCTGGACACAAACCCATGTCAACAGATGTCTGTGCATCCCAGTGCCGGAGGGGTGCTATATCAAAGTGCAGGCACCCAGAACTAAAAATGACCTTTTGAAGCAATCAGTCAATTCAGACTGCCATTTTTTTATTCTTTTTGCTTTTTCCTTGTCTGCTCCAAAAGACAGGATCGCTCCCGCTCCCTTTGGCAAAGAGTCATTCCAGGATGGGACAGGCTGCGACAACCCAGCTGATACCTCGTGGGAAAAGCATTTATTGGAAACCACTGTGCACACTCGCCATTGTTATTAGAAATCTACAGAGCTGCAAACTTACAAAAGGGGAGAAAAAAAAATAAAAGCCAATTCTCTGCTCCAAGGAGCTTCCAGTCTAACACAGAAAAGGCAAAATAAAAGAAGCAAGGTCACGCAGAAGCATGAAGAATAGCTCCCGGTTTTCCCAAGAGGTAAAAGCTGGTCTGTAAGGAAGTAAAAATCATTGTAAAAACAAGTGGAGGAACTTTACAGTTAGCAGAGCTGTTCTTTGCCCCTTTTCCTTCTCATTTTCCTAGCTGTACTACAAAGGTCTCTAGAAGGCACAGCTGAGGAGCAAGCCCTGCTGTGCGAGATGCTCTAGATAGCAGCTGCTGCCCAAGCTGTGACAAGTGTACATCGGATCCAACGGGATGCTAAATGGGTAATGGTGTTCTTGATGTTGTCATGTTTTAGCTAAAAAAGGAATCTCAAAAAAACAGGTCTCGCAGTGCAGGCAAACAAAAACCCTGTTTCTCTGGCAATTTCAAAGTCTGTCATCCCAGTGACCTCTCTGCCTCCAAAAACCTGCCTCCTCTCGCACTTCAAGCAAACAAGACAACCACAGGGAAAAGAAAAACAGTATCTTCATCCTTACGGAAATAAGACACAGAAATTCGCCCACTTGCCCACAGAGGAAGGAACTGTCTCTTCAGCTCTAGAACCGAACTCTTCCCATCAACGCTCACCAGCCACCTCTTGGCATGCTTCTGCACATCGCCCATCCATCCACCCTACTGCAAGGGCATTCACACAACCATCCCAATCAAAAGAGAAACGAGCACAAATTTGCTCCCTTCTTTCCTTTTCTGGTTTTTTTTTTTTTCCTTTGAGGATTTGCTTGCACAATCCCACGTGCTGTACCTGAACCTCAGGAACCTGCTCCCTGGCAGCTCTGGGAGGGTGAAACGAACCTACTGGAAATTAACCTAATTTGAACGTGAACCAGAACAGGTTGGACAGCATTTAATCTTCTGGTTCACAAGCGGTGTCAGCAGAAGAACTAGGTAGGAAAATGCCAAACCCAAATAAATATTAAAAGCCTTCCGCCTTCTGGTGAAATAAAATCTGCACTTTGGGGAGTTTATTTTCCTTGTCTCTTCTTCACAGAATACAATATTTTGAAACTTTGCCATGTTTTTGAAGCACAATCTGTTGGCGTATTCCAGTTGCCAAGACACAGACACAGTTTAACGTTCTTTGGGGTTTTCTTTTCAAGAAGGAAGAAAGCAACAACAGTAGCAAGAAGAAAACATGGATTTTACCGCGGCGCCAGGAGAAGGGATTGCACGAGGGAATTGCCACGGCCAGGACTCGCACCTGAGGTACCTATAGCTCCAGTGGGATCAGCTCCCGCTGCGGAGGGGGAAAGCAGTTACCTCCGCACCCCGGCTCACTGCATGGTTACTTAATGAAAGTCCTGGGCTGCAATCCGGCAATTTCATGCCTCTCAACCGGATCAGGCAAAGTTTCTGAGCTCCTTTTGTTACAACATGCAAAACGCTTGTCTCTCCAAACCTTCTGGGGCCAGCGTCTGCAAGTGTCTCGCAGGAAGCATCAGCAATCCTGAACATGGCACTGCCGTGAAACCAGAAGCACGGAGCAGCGGTCAGCACCGCCCTGCAGAGCCCTGGCTGTACCCCAGTAGGCTGCAGCAGGGTACAGGAACCGGGGTGCCCCCTCCTTCCCCATGTCACAGCTCTCTGGCTCCCGGCTGCATGGGGGGGGACTCAGCCAAGGCTCTGCAGCTGCTCCAAAAAACAAGGGTCTGGGTCACACATGCTTTAAGGAGTTTCTCCCCAAAGGCAAACACTGACACTTAGAGGGCGGCTTTTTTTTTTTTTTTTTTAAGAAAACTTATAACTTAAGTCCCAATATCAGTTCTCTTCAATAATAACTGCCAAGCAAGTATCTCACTGTCAAAATAAAAGCCCCCAGTGTACCATAGCAGAGACCGGCTTTGACAGACGACGCGGTATGAAAGTGCAGTTTGCAAAGGAAGTCATCGGTGGTAGAGCTCAAAATGTGGAGGCAGCTTAGTAACATACAAAATTGGATGTTACCTGTTCCATCCACCAGAAAACCAGTATTTTCCATAGTGCTTTTATGAATCATTATTATTTTTAGCTTTGTTTCCTGACGAAAATCACCGCATGTGTGTATTTGACCGTCTGTGTCCCTTGTGGATGGAGTTCAAATCCACTGGCCACTTTCAGAGAAACTAAGATTTTGGAGACTGCAAACCTGATAAAAACAAGTGACTAAATAAAGAACTACCCAAGTCAGAGGCAGGCTGAAGCACAAAAGCAACCCATGGCAGACACCAGACATCGAAGTCCAAGTTGTGCAGAAGCCCCGGGTGTCTCAGACACCAAAATCACAGCACGAGGTTCAGTCCCAAGGCACAAACCAGCCAGGGCCCGAGCATCGGTGCAGGGGGGTTCACCGCAGCTCCCTGGGATCTGCAGTAAGGAGAGCCCCAGTTACCCACCAGGCAAAGCATAAAGTCGAAATGTGGCTCCTTCTGCAGAAGGGTTGATCGACAGATGGGATCGTGCATCTCCTCCCCAGCATCTAAAAAGTCATGAGTTTTCTGTGTAAACAACCACTGGTGGCTTTTTGGTCTCTGAGCCTTCAAGCTAAAGCTCATTTGAGAGCTCTCCCTGCCATTTTCCACACCGAGACTTCCACAAGCACTTCACTCAAAAGCCAGATTTGAAGAATAACGGGAAAAAATGCGGATTGGTTTGGAGCAATCCTGAGAGAGATCTCCAGAACCGAGTTTTGATTCAGCACAACATGCAGGGTATCTGTAACGTTAAGTACAAGCTTAAATCTACTTTCTTTCAGCGAAACAATTACCCACAGTAAATATTGAACTGACTGATGCTAGAAGTTGCCACCTCTAAAAGGCTCAGTGCCTTCTCGGCATGATCACGACAGCAGCGATGCAAGCTGTGAGCTGCAGCGTCACTGCGAGCTCTGTGCCTGGCTACCCACCCCGCGTGCCTTCTGCACCGGCACCGACTCCCCCAGCCCAGGAAAGTCAACACTGAGAATGAAGCGAGGTCTGGAGGCAAAATGGTAAAAGGAAAACCTGACCTAATGCAAACACATTAAATACTTCCCTGTGAAGGTCTTAAACCCAATTCCTGAGGGAGGAGAGAAAAATACAACTTCCAATGGGCTTGTTAACCTCTTCCCACCAGCACTGACAGAGCGCACAGAGAGATTAATGTTGCTAGCCCCCTTCAATTAGGGCAGCGTGAAATATCAATACTGAAAAAGGAAACTTCAAAGTTTCACAGCAAAAGGGCAGGAACAATAACAGAAAATAATAAAGAAAGGGAAGACAGAGGAATTCACTACCCACATACACCAACAGAAAATAAACTTTTACTTCTGAAGAGAAATCCCATTCCCCAGTCTCCAGGCTTTTCATTGCAGTCAGAAACTTTTTATGATATAATCCAAAGTAAATGGTTCCTTGCCACAAAAAGCTCCTATTTCCTTCAAAGGATATTAACCAGTTCTGTCTTCACCACAATTTATTATTAAAGCTGTGTTCAATAGCCATGTAGCAACACTTTCTTTCAAATAACACTCTTTAGCATATAATTTGCTGGTAAAATTTCACAGGCGGGAAATGCCTCTTTCTCCCACCTTTCTTTAAGAGATAAAAGTGGCTCATTTACTATTCCTGTCTTTCCTAAGGATTTTTTGTCTGGTTTCTTGAAAAGTTTTGAAAGCCAG